AAAAAAAAGCAATATTAGAGCTGTCCATATCTGATGTATGAGCCTTACTGTGTCAGTGGCTTTCATTATGTCTTGTTTCCAGTTGTCCCACCACAGAACCACAGCTGTGGGTGATGAAGTGCTCACCTTTTCCCAAAGCTGTTCCCAGCACAGCTCTGCAGCACCTCCCTCTGTGCTGGGACAGCCAAGAGCCTCCAGCAGGAGCAGAGCAAAGCAGGGAGAGAAAAATCTCAAATCAAGTGGTGTGCCAGGAGGGAGGATCCCTTCCTGCAGGGATCTGAGCCTTTCCAAGCTCAGGGATGAGATGCTCTCCATGGGGGCACAGGGTTGGAGAGGGGATGCTCAGAGCCTGCTGCTGTGGTCAGTGGTTCCCCACCCATTTCTGGCATTCTGGGATTTAATCCCGGTGCTGGAGTGAAAAGCATCCTTACTTTTCAAAAAAATCCAGCTTCTGGAAGAGGTGGAATTGTCAAATCATTGAGTATCTTGAATTGGAAGGGGTGAATGAGGAGCAGGGAGTCCAACTCCCCAGTAGAAAAAAATAAGGGAAAAGAAAAAGAGAAAAAGAAAAAAAAAAGAAAAAGAGAAAAGGGGGAAAAAAGGAGAAAAAGGGGAAAAAAGGAGAAAAAAAGGGAAAAAAGAGAAAAAGGAAAACAAAAGAGAAAAAGGAAAACAAAAGAGAAAAAGGAAAAAAAAAAAGAGAAAAAGGAAAAAGAGATAGAAAAAGGAAAAGGGGTAGAAAAAGGAAAAGAAAAAAGATCTAGAAAAAGGGAACAGAAAACCCTTTTCTTACCTCTCTGGGATGTCCTGCTGGGGTAATTCCTGATGTTCAGGAGCAGCCCTGCTGATTCCAATGTTTGCAAATTAATGCACAACTCAAGGACAGTACAGTAAACACACCCCTGTCTGGCCTTGTGTAAATACAAATCGGCCTGCAGACTGTAAGGTAAACACAAACAAAATTCCTTTCCTCCAGCTCAGGAGGAAGAGGAGAAATGGAGAAGGGTTGAAGAGGAAGAGGAGAAATGGAAAAGGGTTGAACAGGAGAAAGAGAAATGGAGAAGGGTTGAAGAGGAAGAGGAGAATGGAGAAGGGTTGAACAGGAGAAAGAGAAATGGAGAAGGGTTGAAGAGGAGGAAGAGGAGAAATGGAGAAGGGTTGAAGAGGAGGAAGAGGAGAAATGGAGAAGAGTTGAACAGGTTTTTCCCTGCTCTGGCTGAAGAACCGTCTGGAGTTTGCAGTGTGCCATTGGTACCCATTCCCACTAAACCCTGAGTCTGTGCTAACAAGAGTTTCTCTTCCTTCAAAGAAAGATTTCCCCCCTGCTGCTGTCACCTGCAATTCTTCCTGCTGATGATAAACTTTAAAGGAGGCTTTAATTTGTGCTTTGCAGCCTGGTGTAATGCTGATGAGGTCTGTGAGTGAAGATTAGAGCTAAGCAAGTAACACACCTAAAATTCAAACCCCTATTAGATAATTCCTTTTGCATTTGCAGAAAAATTAAAAAAAAAAAAAAACAAAAAACAAACAAACAAAAAAGGAAAAAGAAAAAAGAAAAAGCAGAGCAAAAAGTTTTGCTTGTGTTTTGTAAAACCTTATGAAAACATCCTTACAGGGCCCCAACCAAGCTGAATACTATTCTTTAAAAAAGAAAACAGTCCTAAATTAAGAGTGGAATTTTAGCTTCCACTTTGAATCTCTTGGCTTTTGTTGGTTTCTTATATACCCTCATTATTTCAGCAGCAGCGTGTTGTTTTTGGTCTGACTAATATTTAGAAATTGTTCCATCCAACCTTTAGATGTCTACTGTTGGAGAATGATTCATTTCTCTTTGACTTCATGAGCAAAACTTAAGCAGTGAGACCTTTTCCTGCCCTTGCTGTGGTGTCTCTCCCTGCTCCAGAATTCCCAGTGTTCTACCCCAATAACCTGGAGCAGAGAACATGTCAAAGAGGGACTGCAGCTTTGCAGGGATGTGGTTGGGGGAGTCATTTTGCCAGGATGAGCAGCCTGGATGCAAAGCACTCTGAGCTATTCTAGCGGGGTTTGAATAAATATTGGGCATAAGAAGTTAAAAAAAAAAAAAAGAAGTGAAAATAAAATTTCAATATCTCTTTATGAGGTATTTCTTTTTAAATGATGAAATATTTTGTCAAAGGTGTTCCAGAGGTTTGCAATGGCAGCAGTGATGTGAGCTCCCAGGCCCACTGGGGAGGGAGGCTGCCATCAGTGCTAGGAAAACAGCAATCACTTCCCAGTATAATTGTCCTGAACCAACAAGAAATATCTAAACACCCTGTTCCTTGGCAGTAAATGGTGGATAATCCTCTAATTTTGGATTATGAGTGCCAGGGATCTCGTAGTGCTCAGCAGCAGAGGATTTGTGGTGTGCCAAGGGACAGAGGGATATTGAATATCTCCATTAATGGCACAGACAGAGGGACTGGGGGTGCCCCAGGTGAATCTGAATGACCCCAAGGGGACAGAGAGGTGCTGTTGACACACCTGAGGGTGGGATCCCATCCACAGGGACCTGGACAAGCTCCAGGAGTGGGACCTTGGGATCTCATGAGGTTTAACAGGACCAAGAGCTGGTGCTGTACCTGGGCCAGGACAGTGTCAATCCAGGCTGGGGGGGTGAAAAGATGGGGAGCAGGACAGAAATTATTTATATCCATTACAAAAGCCTTCATTAAATAGATGCTGTTTGCTTTGAGTGACGCACAAAAACAAATCCAAGAATGCGACATCAGAAAAAACCAGAAGAGAAATAAAGGCAATGAAACATGACCAGTGCTGATGCAGAAGTTTCCATGTTTTTCACTTCAAAAGATCCATTTCTAAGTCTCTAAAATAGAGAGAGGAACAAATTTTTATTTGGTGCAATTTGTTTTGCAGTGATATGTTTCCAAAATCTTTCAGCATGCCTGATATTCGGTTCTGAGCCACAATCTTCAAATGTCACATGGAAAAAGAATTTACTGCTGGTTAGGCATGGGATTTCCTCTGGCATAGCATAATATCAAGTCTTGTGATCTATTTACATTTAAAACCAGTAAAATTAATGAATGAACCAACACAGAGGGCCCTTGTCTCTTTGCAGGGTTTCTGAGCTGATTTTCTTATTTAATTTTTTATGGCTGCAAGTGTTCAATTTTAACTCGGATTTAGTTTTCAGCAATGCAAATTTTTCTTCATACTCCCAACAGCTGTTAGCAATATACCCACATCCAAGAACACGTTTCTATGTGACCAAACTCGGTGTAATTGCCACATCATCTGCTAAATTGGCATTACAAACAAGTCCCAGGGGAAGAAATGCGACTCCCTCCGTATGTCATCACTTTTGAAATTTCCACAGTAAAGAATCAGCGCTCAAAGCTCTTCTTTCTGTGCTGACAACTCAGATAAGGCAGCTTGTAGCTGGGGCTTGCTGTTTCCCAAGGACTTGGTAGAGCCTTGTTGTACCACTACAAGGGCCCTTTCACGTGGGACAAGCGTTTGTGTCATGCTGCCTTGCAAAAACACCTCCCTATCTGCCTCTCGTGCAGCTGAGTGTGCTCCACCACGAATTAAATAGTGGCAGATTGCAGAGAAATAACAGCACAGAACTCAGCTTTTTTATCACCTAATTAGCCCCAGCATAAAAGTTCTGTATTTTGATGGTAGCTGTTAGAGCTCTCCCATCACTGTGGTTATTGCCCAGGCCACTCCAGGCTGGGAATGTTAAACAGGGATAGCACTCTGAGTTTCTCTGGCTAACACAGCCCATCAAATTGCCTCTCTCTGCCACAGATGCTATTCCAAGTTATTATATTACAACTAAATGTGTTTGGAATGATGTCTGGCTATCAGCATTTTGTCATTAGAAGAGAGAAAGGAAGACCAACAGTAGACAGATATTGCTATCTGGACTGTAATGAGTCCCTGAGGGAAAATTAAGGGGTAATTGTAACAAGCCTCTGGATGGACCAAAAAAATATTAGTCAAATCTCATCTGTTCTCCAACTTCCTTCTTTCTTTAAACTGTCAACACTTCCCGTGCTTTTTGGCTCAAAATGCCTGTCTTCATCTCAGCTAAGCCCCATACAGCTTTTTACTTCCTTGCAAAGTTTTCAAAAAGCTTAAGAGGCTGCTAAAAGTGTCATTTTGTATGCGGTAGGAAATCCAGTTGAACTGGATGCACTGAGTATTTGTCAGAGTATTTACATGGAGCAGATGTGGGGGGAAGCTCTCCCTGTGGTGTCAGCATCTCTGGCCTGGGAGGATCTGCCAAAACTCAGAGCTTGGTGCCTCCACCTGACTGCTCCCGCCAGAAATGGGCCCTTTGTTTGAGGCAATGGATGTTGAACTGGAAAAAAAGGGATTAAATCCGTGATTTCATCATGGACTGTTTTACTTCTTGTTTTTCTTCGGGAAAGTTCTTCATTTTCATGGCTGTATAAATAACTCTGCCTCCAGTCCCAATTTTTTTTTCCAGTTCAAAGAGTCAGTGAAATAAAGATCTCTCCCTTAGATGGAATAAAGGTGATTTCCTGTCCTGGGTGTGTTTTCTTCTCCCAGATACCTGCTAGGACACCTAAGCCCAAGTTTCTACACCTGACCTGGAAATGGGAAATTGAAACAGCCAAATAAATATCTAGTTGTTTTCCCATGTTTTTTGGTGTCCTTGTGTTACTCTCAGCATTTAAATAAGGACACAGAGAGACAAAATAGTATTAGAAACATCAGAATATGGAATACTAAAATGCAAATCCAAACCAGTTAAAAGGTGTTCCCTTAGATGATGGCAGAAGATGTATAGTGGGGAACACTGTGATGAAATTCAGAAAAGATGTGACATAAACCCAATTCCTGGTGTGTTCACACATAGTCTGGAGGATCTATTATAAAGCTGTGGTCCTGACTAAGCTTCTTGGCTAATTAGTGACATGTTTTGTGCCCTGAAAATAATATTCTGAATGTGAGTTACCACCAGCTGTGGTGCCTGTCCAAGGAGGGTATCATCTCTTTGTGATTATTGGAGTTCATGACTGACTTTACATGACACAGAAGAAATGAATTCTCAGGGAATTTTTGGATCCTGCACCATTTTTCCTAGAGCAGCTCAGACCTGCTGAACCCTGCTGAGCAAACCCACCTGTGGGAGAGGGTGGAAAATCTTGCAGAGGCATCAGCACTCCAAGCCAGCAGAGAGAGAAGCCAAGGCACTGTCAATATTTATATTTAGACCTAGAGATACATATTTTAATTTTAATTTACTTCTCTTTGAGGGTGGGCCAGACTGGAAGAATCAAAAACCTGTTGAGCTCAGGACAAAACCAGCACATTACTCTGCATTTTCTTTTCCTTCCCTCACAGTTTCCTCCCCTGACTTTGCTTCAGCTCTCACCGGACCAACAAGCTCTGAGAACTCCTATAAAACTCCAAAGTGAAAAAGAGTGTGCCTGCCAGGTGGGATTTTTTTTTCCCCAAGTGCTCACAGATCTAATTTTCACCACATGTGAACAAGTGTTCGCAGTTTTAAAGATGTGTTGAGTAATTGCACATGCGAGACATCTTCCCTTTAGTGCTCCCAGTGTGTTCAAAGCTCTTTTTTTTTTGTGAGAACACCCCTGTTAACAACGGAGCTGTGGCCTTTAGCTTCCACTTAAGTGGGTACTGCTTTGTGTTGAAATATAATTGGTAGCACTTGCCTTTTCTTATTCCCTCAGCTTAGCTAATGAAAGACACTGCCATCATCTCCTTCTCTTAGGATCAGGGTTTGAGCCTGGAAAATCTCTGCTAGAAGGAGCTGGAGAGGCACCTGCCGCTGCCATTGCTGTGGGTACCATTTATTTTTGGGCCAAAATTGGAAACAAGGGTGTGTTTGCTGCCTTCTCTTTTGGGTGAGGATGTAAAATGATGTGCTGCTGATGTGCTCCTCCATAGGAGATCATTCCTTTGATTTTACACACCAATAAAAGGAATGATCTCCAATGGAAAAGGGAGTTGTGACTGGTAAAATGTGCAGGACACCTGATCACCTCCCCTGTGACACCACAGCAGATCTTCAGTGGTGACTGAGCAGTTTTCAAGAGAGCTGAGGACAGAGAAATTTATCATCAGCTCTTCCCATGCACCCAGCCATGAGAGGGATGATTTAGGCAACAAAATTCAATTAAACCCCTGTCCTTAGGGGAATATCTCATGGCCTGACCAAATGTCCTGTAGGACTGGGTGTGACACCACTGGCATGAGATAAACCAAAAGGGAATGGGTCTGAAGGGTGACAGAGGTGTGGGACAAAATCAAATACAAATGGAAAGTGAGATTTGAATCAGTTGAGGGAACAAATGGAATTTCTGTGAGATAGGAGTCAAACAACAACTTTGTGTTTTCTTGGTTTCTCTAAGTCACTCTTCTCCTGGCCAGTAAATCTGTGAGAAAGTGGTAATGAAATGTGAATTACCTCCAAAATTATCTTCCTTCAGTCATTGCTAGAAATGGCATTGGAAACAACAAAATGTTGAATCTCATGGTGAGAAAAAGATTACTTTTTTCTTTTGCTCCATTGTCCGGAAAATGTTGTATAATTATAGAGGTTTCTTTGAAATAGCACACTGTAAAAGCCTCATAAATGTTTTTTAAATTTCAGGAACTAAAACTAGAAGTCATTTACTCCTGGTTATTTCTGGAAAGGGGCTGACCATAGTCTGTCTGGGAGGAACGCTGAGTCACCCACCTCTCCTGACTGTTGGGAGGAACACAGAAGTGCCTACAACAAAGCCTTGGGTTTCAAATCCAAGCAAACGAGCTGCAAGCAACACTTACATTAATGTTTTTGTAGTGATCAGAGGTTTTGGCCAAGTCGAACACTCTACTGGTGTGGAAGGAACAATTCTTGTCCCATGAAATGTGGCTGACCTGAGTTAGAGACAAAATAGAAGCTGTGGATCTGTGGCTGAAAAACCAAACCTCAGAACCACAAAATCAGTTCAGTCAGAAGAGACCTTTGAGATCATCACATCCAACCTTAAACCCAGCAGTGCCCAGCACTAAACCAGGCTTTTAAGAACCACAACTTCATGCCTTAAATTCCTCCAGGGATGGTGACCCCACCATTTGCTGGGGAGCTGCTCCAGCCCAACTTGGGGGACCCCTCAGCACCAAAGCTCTGCAGGGTCACACCTGGTGCATGTGAGAGAGCTGTGAACAGAAATCTCCTCCTTTCCAGCTCCAGTGCTCTCTCTCTGGTGCAGCCTCTGCAGATAAACTCTCTGGAGATGTGATTGCACTTACCACATTCAATACAATCATTCAAGACAGGAAAAACCAGCGAGCGCTTTTAGGTGATCAACACCTCCAGAAAGAAATGTGTTCATTAAAGTTATGACAGCCCCAGTGATTCATTAGTGGGACAGAGGTTATTATGCATTTGTAGATATAAACCAGAGCTGATCTGAACAGACTGAGTTCCCTCAGTAAGTAGCTTATTACGAAAGAATTAAAGGTTGCAGTGGGATCTGCATCTAAAATTGGAGGAAACCTCTCAGCCAGCAATGCTTTGGTGCTATTACTGTTTTTAACTTGAATTGCTTTTTTCCCTTGTTGCTATTTGCTCTGTGATGTGTGTGTGGAGAGGAACTGTAACACTTCTCCAGAACAGTATAAACTTGTCATATTAAATTTCACTTGGAAATTAAAAGGTTTCTAATCAGCAGAGCAGTGAAGCTCTGGAACAGCTTTCCAGGAAAAATGGAGGCCAATAAATTTAATCATAATGAAGCCTGAACAGTTTATAAAAGGGATTATGTGACATAGTCCTTAGAATATTAGGGGACTGAAATTGAAGATCTCTGTGTCTCATTTTCCAAGCTCTGCTCCTACATCTGGATGTTTCTCTCACAACAGATTTTTGCAGATAATTCTGTGATCACTGCTGCATGAAGAACACCAGACAGTCAATCCCAGGGTACCAGTGCCCCATGATTACAGCTGCTAAACTTCAGCTTAAAAATGTCTGCTATGTCAAATTATTTCAGTGTTACCTCTTCATGCAGGCAGTGGTTGTTACAGGACTGAAGGGAATCTAACACAACACAGGCTCAGCTGTGGCAGGTGAGAGGCCCAGTTAACCCAGCACTTTGTCTCCAAATGTGGCCGAGAGAAAAGACTTAATGAGCAGACAAAGATTGTGGGAGTGCTTCTTAGAAATCCTTTCCTAACCTCCAACAATTCAATGCCCAGGGACCTCACAGAAATCACATCTTGCTCCTCTGGGCTTCCTAAGCTCTCCTCTCTGATTTTTCTTCTCTGAATTAAAGCACGTTTCTAACACTTAAAGACTTTTGACACTGGTGCAAAGGCTTCCACAGCAGATGTGCACTGCTTGGAGAAGCTTTTCCTTCTGATGCCTGTTTGCCTAATTTCATGAACAGAGACCAGGAGTGAGTACCCAGGAAACTCAGGTGTGCTCTCTCATACTGCCCTTCATCCACCCCTTTCCACACTGAGCCATCCTGATCTGCCTGCCCAGAATCCAGCATCATCTTGATTATCCTTCTTACATGTATACAGAAATTTCCTTTCCTTTCCTTTCCTTTCCTTTCCTTTCCTTTCCTTTCCTTTCCTTTCCTTTCCTTTCCTTTCCTTTCCTTTCCTTTCCTTTCCTTTC